AGATGATTTTTCTGGGTTTACATGGGAGAACTTTCTTAGAGAAAAAGCAGACATCTTTAAAGTCTTCAAAGAGCTATGTGAAAGTATTCAAGAGGAGGAGAATAATGTGATTATCAAGGTTAGAAGTAACCATTATAAGGAGTTTAATAATGAAAAATTCTCTGAATTTTATGCTTATGAAAATATCAACCATGGATTTTCTTTCTCCATCACCTCTAAGCAAGATGGAATTGTTAAGCAAAATACTAGAGTTATAAAAGAAGCAGCTAGAGTAATGCTTCATACAAGCAATTGCTATTAGAGTTTTGGGCTAAAGCTATGAATAATGAGGTTACATTCATAATAGGGTCACTTTGAGAGAAGATACTTCAACCACTCTCTATGAATTATGGAAAGGAATGAAGCCTACAGTCAAATATTTTCATACCTTTGGAAGTAAATGCTATGTACGGACTGATAGAGAACAAGAGGGTAAGATTGATGCCATAAGTGATGAATGGATATTCCTGGGTTACTCTTCAAACAGAAGAGCTTATAGAGGTTTTAACTCCAGAACTAGAATGACAATGTAATTTATCAGTGTGGTAATTAATGATTCAATTACTGAACAAAGGATGGATGTTGAAGAAAATGTTAGAACATCCTATATGCAAATTTATGAGGTAGTAAGGGAGGTAATTATGAATCCACAAGCACTGAATCAGTAAGTTCTCAAGATAACAAAGGTCTCTCTACTAGAGGTCAGATAGAACAATCCATGGTACTAATTTCAAGCCACCTCAAAGAAACTATCAAATTCATGTCTTGTTTCTAAGATTGAACCAAGGATTAGTCTTACTATTCAAGAAAGGAAGATCTTGAATTGCATCATTGGAATTAGTTTTTATGGTGTGCCTTACTCTTTCAGCGTGAAAGAATTCTATAAGGAAAAATGGGCCAGTAGTACTGATAGATGTTTATCTTTAAGAAACAGTCTTATTTCCTGTTTCAATAAGAAGCAAATATGTGCTTCTGGGAATACTACTAAAGCTGAATATGGTGGAACAAGGAGAGGTTTCTCTCAATTGGTATGGATGAAACAGATGTTGAAGGATTATAATGTCAAATATGATGTCTTGACATTATATTGTGAAGATCTGAGTGATATCAAACATCTCATTCGACATGGCTAGAACAAGAACCTTGATAGTCACAATCAACTAATCAAGAATCTTGTTGAAGGAAAGATTTTTATTCTAGATCATATGGACAACAAGGAAAAACTTATTGTTATGTTTAATCAGATTATGAACATAAGCAGTGGGATTGAAACTTGCACTATTAAGAAGTTATAGCAATTACATATATGGAGGAATGTAACATATACTACATTTTTCCTCTATTTTATGATGCTTGGGAAGTCTAAGCAAGTTGCTATTGATAAAAGATGGAACAAAAGATCTCTGCGAGATAGAAAGAATGGTTTGAAGGAGACATGTTCTAAGGTAGTGGAAATGAAGTTCAATGTCAACACTTCTAAAACATGTAACAACAACAAGAGGTGCAAAAGGATCTTTGACAAGGGCAAGAGGTGGAATACCACCTGAAGATGTTCAAGAATGTGTTTGTTTCCATCTAATATTTTATGTAACATTGCTAAGACGTGTTTCCATCTATGTGCAATGTGCGTGCTTCCAATTATTTTTTTTATATTTACTCTTTTTTTGTCAATTTTTGACTAAAAAGGGAGAGTAAAGTGTTAGTGTTTTTATTTATGTTGATGTTATGTCACATGTTTTGACATGTTAATTAGCATGCTGATAGGACTGCATTGCTGCTAATAGGAGAGTAGTTATTATGGTTTCTTGTTGTATGCATCTATTTAGGAGGAACATTATAGTCTGTCATGCTTGTTAGTGAGGATTCATGTGGGGATTATCTGCTTGGAGCACCGAAAATGGAGATATTTTTCCCTGTGGGGATGAGGATGTAGGTAAAGCCCCTCGATGACACTTTAGGACGGGGATTGGGAAAATACCCTCTGCTCTGTGGATTTTCCGTCTCCGAGCATATTATTTAACTTTTATATTTTATAAATTATATAATCTATAATTATATAATTTTACATAAAAAATATTAAGATATTAGAAAATAAAGAGTCATTAGTAGATTATTTTATTTTTATGTTTTATTATATAAGGTAATATTTCACTATCCAAGTATCCAACCGAAGGAAAATGCACCCAATACATATAATATACACACCGTCTCCTTCTTTTATTTTCTCAATTATCTTTGTCTCATCCATTCATCATCTCCTTTGTTCTTATCATCATCACAATAACCATTATCCTTTATTCATTGTACTTATGATAATCTCTCTTCAAATTCACTTTACATCCATTAGTAACATATTTTTCATTCAATTGATAAATTAGTAGTTATGAATTTGTCACACACTAACATAATCAACCACTTGTGGTGGATGACGGTGATATTGTGGTAGTAAATTAGCGAAAACATGATAGCAACAAGTTGTGTTAATATTTTTTTTATACCTTTTTACATAAAAGTATTAGCAACAATAAGTGTTTTTCTTTTTTTGATATTGATGTAAGATGTATTTTTATTTATAAAAAATAAAGATGCAAACTATATGTGTTTTTTTTAAAAAAGTAAAAATAATGAAATAGCAGTGTCATAGTTTTGATCGAAAAGTGTAGAATTTTTTTAAGATTCGATCTTCGTGGATCTCCGTTAGGATCTGTGGAGATGTGGATGGGGGAAAATATTCCTTTGTGGCGGGGATTGGAGACAGGGATGAGGAATAAATTTGAGGGCAGGGTATGGAGCGGGGAAGCATCCTCTGAATATTCTTTGTCCCGTTGACATCCCTAGTTTTAAAATTCCAGAATTTCACTTGGGGTTAGGTTGACTCCCTCTACATGTTAATTCCATAATAGATGATTATTGTCCCACAATTTAATCGATAATTTTAGTCCGAATTGATGCGAGAAAAAAGGCTCAAAAGAATTGACTGCAAAATTCTATGAATTTTGAATCAAGCTTCCAAGTGTTACAACCTTAGCAATTTTCGAAGGATCACTCATGGTGGATCAAGGAAGACGAATCAATTAGAGGTTTTGGGATTGGTGAAACTGTAACTGAAAGTCAATTAGGATAGTTAGAGAGCAGGAGGGATCGAACGAAGTGAATGATACCATAATAAAATAATGATTTTGAACTACATTGTACTATACACTGCTGAGTTAACTTGTTATAAAGTCACACCCCTAGTATTTATAGTAATCAATGCATTCTCTCCTATGTACACATGCACATGCATGGTGCTCTACATCAGCATCCCTATACATACATGCATGATGCAATGTTATATACCTTAGACTACACATTATTATTCCAATAATCTCATATACTTTTGCCCAAATCATTATGTTTTTTAGAAGACTTTTTAGCGGGCACGAAATGGGGTGGACATATCACTTTTAAGCTTTAGAGGTGACAGGATCGATTGACCCCTCCTCACTCTGAATTTTGGCGAGCTAACCCAAAGTATTTATCCGTTCTATATTATTTACAAATTTTGATGTATCGAATCTTAATAGGATAGACATTGTCTATTTGCCAACACTACATTCAAATAATTAATCCTTTTAAAGTTTTTAATATTCTGATTAATAATTCTCATATTCTCAAGATGTCTTCTAAATAATGTTAACAACATATTATATCACCATTTTTTTAATCCAAAAATACAAAGAAGAGACCAAAATTATTAAATTTCAAAATAGAAAACTAATTTCATGAAAGAGTAAAATAAAAAATAGTTATAATTATTAATTAAGTCAAAATAATATTGTAACACATCACACAAGAAGATATTGTTATAGCACACAAATACAGAAAACAACAACTACACACCACATTATTAGACACACTACCGTACACATTTGGAGATGTGTACTTTAATTTCCAATATGAAATGTACCTACCTACTTTGGTGAATAATTTGAGCTATGAAGATTCTGCCAGTAAACACGGTTACCTTTAAACGCGGATTTCTTAGTTTACGAGTTTTATTTGTCTTTATTTGAACCTGTATTTCATTCTTTTAACTTTTTTTCCCTTTGTTTTGACTTCATTGGTGAATGTGTTTTAGATCAGGTGTCATGCACATTACTTCTCTTGGCAGTTTCTGAATCTAGATTAATCTCTGATCACAGTTTATGGGAAATTGTGATTTGTTTCTTCTTCTGTTTTTGTGCGTGTGAATATTCTGTAAGGCATAGTCCACATGGTAGAGATGCATTTTATCGTGATTCTTACCAAGTTCACATAATTAATCACATAATTTGTGTTTAGAATAATTTAAAGTTTTAAACCCGTACTCTTAATTATGTCTATTTCATTTTATTTCTTTACGGATTTTTATGGAACAGATTTAAACGGAACGGATATATCCGATCAAATGTTAAATAGTTGTGGTACCAAGTATAATCCAAATTAAAACTATTAACCCAATAATTTAATTAAAAATATATAGATTTCTATGATTTTATATTCCAACCAACTCAATTGGTTATTATACCTATTAACTTCTACTTGAAAGTATTAGTCTAATTTAGATTTTAAAAATTAGAATCTAAAACAATACTAATCACTTCCTTAAAGCAACCTCCAAGAAGGTATAATTACAAAAAAAAAACAATGAACCCACCCCCACCCCACCATGTGAAAATCCAAGACACCCTAATCTCAAAGGACAATGTTGTGAATTCACACCCACATACAGTTCCATAATTATTAATAATTATTAACAACAACATCACATCACAATTATTTTTAAATCCAACCCTCCATTTGCATTATGAGCAATGAGTAAGGTTGTTGCTATATATACCAAACTCATCTCACACCTTTTTCCTCGGTTCAAACCATCCCAAACCTTCAAAAGAAAAAGAAAAAGCTTCATAATTTTCTACTCCGAAAAAGCTACTAATATGGGAAATAACTTAAGGTGTTGTTTGGCTTGTGTTCTTCCTTGTGGAGCCCTAGATTTAATCCGAATAGTGCATTTGAATGGCTGTGTAGATGAGATTACACATTCAATCACAGCTGGAGAAATTCTCAAAGCTAACCCTAACCATGTTCTAAGCAAACCAAGCTCTCAAGGCGTTGTTCGTCGGATTTTGATTGTTTCTCCGGAGACCGAGCTCAAGAGAGGTAGCATTTACTTCTTGATCCCGACCACATCTTTTCCGGAGAAAAAAAGAAGTGGATCGGTTGTCAATGACTCTAGTCTCAACGAGAAAACATCGAAGAAAAGAACCACTAAGAGTGATAGTGATGAATCAACATCACAATTACAACATATGGAGAAGAAATCATCACGAAGGGATCGCAAGAAAGGTCGTGTTGGAATATGGCAACCTCATTTAGCAAGTATTTCAGAAGATTAATCTTTTGAATTTTCGACCAGTGTCACAATCATCGTAACATGATATTCATGACACTGGTGGAAGAAGAGAAGAATCATTAACTTCATTAAGGGTTCAATTATTGAGTTATAGCAAAAGGTTTTTTTTTCTCATTCTTATTGTTTTATAAGTGTATGAGTATTTATTTTGTGGATAAATTATTTTACCTTGCTTTGCGTATACTTGTGTTTCGATTTTTGTGAGGTGAATTACACATGGGTGAGTTAGATTTTATTAAATCATATATGTATTTGCTTCATTTAAAAGAGAGAGAAAATAAAAGCAAGAAAGTGAAGAATTAATAAGTTTGGATCTCTTCTTTTTCTTTTTCAGTTTGGTGATAAATAAATAAAAGATTAAAATGAATGAGTGATGAGCATATCTTTGTGCCCCACCATTTGATATTATTCAATGTTTACATTCAAAATAATGTCTGCTTGATTTTGCCGTTAAAAGAGTTTATTTTGAATGAATCATTAATATTTGATTGTAAATATAAGAATAATTTATGTTTAATTAAATTTATATAAAATAAATTAAATAATACATTTTAACGTAAAAATCAATTTTACTTTAAAATAAATTTATAATGAATTGAATATTAAATTTCAATATAAAAACTACATTTAATTTCAAAAGTTACAAATTTTATATTCAAAAATCAGATAGAATCAATTTTGAAAATAAAATCAATTTTACTTTAAAAAAATTAAATATTTTAAAATCAATTTTATATTTTTAGAATTTTTTCTGTGCCATTAATTAAACCAAACATAAATGAAAAGTTAGGATATGCGGTTGTTCTTTCTCGGTAATTTTTAGTAATTAATTTCTTTCTCACATCAACATAATATATAATAATCATTCATCACTTTAGTAATTAGAATTGAAAATTAAAAGTAATTATAATAAACTTTCGCATCTCATTGATGAAGAGGTTAGAAACAAGAGTTGAAAAGCTATTAGAGTGGAAAAGAGTGGTGGTAGTATCTCGTTCGCAGAGGATTTGTTATTTTTTGGAGAAGCCATTGAAACAGATGAGGTGTGTGATGAAGACTCTTAATGCTTTATGTATGATGTCCGGCTAGGAGGTGAGTTTGTTAATGTTCAGATAACAGAAGTAACAGGAAAATAGCCAAGATCCATTAAAGAAGAAAGTCCAAGAGGAAGTTCTGTTATGAAACAGTAAGAAGAAAAAGGATGAATCTTGCATTGATTTCTTATCCATAGAAAATGGATACTTATATACATTTTGTATAAAGAATGAATGGATAGAAAATAATACACGTGGCAATCATCTATTGCAACAAACTAAAAAGGAAAAAGAATATCTATATATATACACTAATATCCCCCCTCAAGTTGGGCAGTGGATAGTACAAACTCCCAACTTGTTCAAATTGAGCTTCAAAGATGGTGAATGAAGGGGCTTAGTGAAAATGTCTGATAATTGGTCATGAGTGGAAATAGGGAGGAGATGAATGAGTTTTGAATTGATCTTCTCACGTATTACATGACAATCTATCTCAATATATTTACTACGTTCATGGAATGTCGGATTATGCGTCAAGTAAATGGTAGATTTACTATCACAAAACACAGAAGCAGGTTGATCAAACTGAACTAGTAAGTCTTGGAATAAAAAATGCAGCCACTGAATTTCACAAGTAATAGATGCTAGCGCACGATACTCTGCTTCGGTGGAAGATCTTGAAATTGTGTGTTGCTTCTTCGATTTCCAGCATAAAAGAGATGAGCCTAACATAACACAATATCCAGTGACAGATTTCCTGGTATCAGGGCACCTAGCCCAGTCAGAATCAGCAAAGCCAAACAGCTGCAGTTTGCTAACAGATGAGAAAAGAATGCCTTTAGCTGGAACTGCCTTTAGATACCTGAGAATTTGTAGTGCAGCCTGATAATGAGGAGTGCGAGGTTTTGGCACATACTGACTCAGATGTTGTACTGCAAAGCAAATGTCAGGTCGTGAATTAGTGAGATAGATCAACCTACCAATTAACCTTCTATATGATGAGGGATCTTCCAAAATCGAGCCTTCATCAACAGTTAACTTAAGGGTTGGAGGAAAGGGGACTGCAGATGGTTTTGCTGCTAGAAGGCCAGCATCCTCCAAAAGTTCAAGAGTATACTTCCTTTGATTAAGAAAAATGCCAGTGGGAGATCTAGCAATTTCAAATCCTAAGAAGAAACGTAATTGGCCAAGTTCTTTGATTTTAAACTTTTGATCCAAGAGATGTTTGACCTGTTGAATCTCAGATAAGGAGTTACCTGCCAGAACCACATCATCCACATAGACAAGCAAAACAGTGAATTCATGGTTTTCCTTTTTAACATAGAGAGAGTGATCATCCTGAGATTGTGTGTAGCCAAGTGAGAGAAGGAAGGATGATAGTTTTGCATACCATTGCCTACTGGCCTGTTTAAGGCCATATAGAGACTTCTGCAGTTTACATACCTTAGAAGCATCATAACCAGATAAACCAGGAGGAAGAGTCATATACACTTCTTCATGTAAATCTCCATGTAGGAAAGCGTTGTTTACATCTAACTGTTCTAAAAACCATCCTTTGATAGCAGCTAAAGACAAAAGGACTCTGACTGTAGTAATTTTGGCTACAAGGAAAAAGGTGTCAAAGTAGTCAATACCCTCCATTTGTGTGTACCCCTTTGCTACCAGCCTAGCTTTAAATCTCTCAATAGAACCATCTGCTTTATGCTTGACTTTGTATACCCATCTACAGCTGTTGTACCCCAAAATTTGCCCTCCCATTTCCTCAATATTTTCTCATCACAAGACCCTTGAAGATCAAGATCCAGTTAGGGTTTCCTTTGCTCAAGACTTCTCCTTGCACTGTTGACTCAAATTAGGGTTTGTGTTTGCACAAAGATGTTCTGACCTAAAATGCCTAAGATGACTTTCATGCTTCATATTGGACTCCCAAGTTTATCCATACCAAGTTTCAAGTCTTGATTCCAAGCTTTGCCCAGTCAATTGGACAGTTGACCTAAAAATCAACTGTATTGAGGAAAAAGTCAACTGTGGCCAATTGACAGTCAAACCTCATGATTTTTGACCCACATCAATATTATGAACTCATATGAACCATTTGGTCAATTTTGGATCACAATTCCACAAGAAATTTGATCAGATCACCCAAAGGGCAAAATGGTCATTTTTAGGGTTTTGACTGCACAAAGGCAATTTTTGACTGTTTGACCTAGCCAATGGCAAACCAAGCTCACATATGGACTCAAGGACCCCATGGAATTATCTTGACATGCTCAACAAGTTCAAAGGATCCCAAATACACAAGATTGATAGTTGAATTTCCCAGTCAATTGATCAATTTTGACTGTATACTGAAAAGTCAAACTTTGACTTTTTGGTCAAAATCAAAAGTCAAGATTCATTTTTCATCAAAACATGCCAAATCATGAAACTTGTTCACCAAGAAATCAAGAAATGCAAATTAGGGTTTGAAATGAAAAATTTTCATAACTTAGAATTTTTCTAAGTTATGGAAAACCCTAATTTTTCCCCAACTTTGCCCCACTTTCTCACCAAGATTAATTTGGATTCAAGCAAAAGTCAAAACATGAAAGTTGTAGCCTATTGCATAATCTACAACTTTGATTCACAAAGTTTTCCAAAAAGAAGCTTGTATCTCAAGTTACAATTTTTGGAACAAGGGTGCCAAACCATTCTTAACTTAGTGAAAATTTGACCTATTTTGGACAAGTTTTTTTACCTAACTTCAAGACCATTTTTTATACACTTCCACTTGGAATTTCAATTTGCATTTCAAAGATGGATTGTAGTACACATTCCAAGCTTTCCAAAATGTCCAAGAACTTCTCAAACAACCTCATGGTTAGGGAGAATCGAATTTTGCAAAATGGGAAAAAGTCACTTTTGTTCTTGGCCAAGACATGTTCATACATTGGTGCCATTTTGAATTCAGCATGCTTAAGCTACATTGCAGGCCTCTAATCCCATTTTCACTCAATAATTCAATGCAAAACCATTGTGCCAAGATGTTATTCTAAGCATTTGGACATTACATGGAGAATTAACCCTTAATTAGAAAAAGCATTATTTCCATTTTGAAAAAGTAGAACTTTATGTCCATTTTGCAAATCCAAGTGGTACAGTCCAAATCTTCTTGGCACAAGTTTATGAGCAAATTGCACTGATCAAGGTCAATGTGTGTAGCATAGTGTGAGGGCCTGTACAGGCTAGAAACATCAAGTGACCATTGCTTGCTTAAAGTTCAAGAAACATTGCATATGACATACCAACTTCCATATCAGTCAACCAGGCCTTAGAGAAAGTTATCAAACACATTCCAAACATTGATCCTAAGCTGAAGCACAAGCCTTTCACCTCCAATACCTTCACAAACTCAGAACCACCATCAAACTGCCAAAACAGAGTGACCTCTGCAGATTGAGTTCCAACTCTCATCCCTGTCATGCTTTCTTGCTAAAAGCTCTTCACACACCTTCCCTACCATCAATGCAAGCTAACCAAAACCTAAAACACGACCTGTAATTCCTCTAACCAGTTCCACCATTTTCATTTTCTTGTTTTGCAGTTAAAGTTCTCTAGCACGATTCAAGAAGTTTCAAGACAAAGTAAAGCTTGGAATAGCATCCCTGGACCTCAAGGAAGCTATACCAATCATCACCTTGCACTGAAAGCTTCTCCATTGCCAGATACAACTTCAACTGAACAGGTAAGTTCATGAACTCGTATCTCTCTTATTAGGCATTGTTAGCTTTAGGTTTGTGAAGAAAACATGTCACAATCATAGCCCTGAACATGCCCATATGATTATATTTCATTTATATTATGTGTGCTGCAAGAATTTTGAGTCTGAACATTGATGAAAAACTAGGTCAGGAATTGGGGGAGAAGAAATTCTCCCTCATCTTAGAGAGTTAAGTCAAGTTTTTTATAT